CCCCAGCCCACCCTGGCTCTGCTCTGCTTCCTGCAATTGTGCAGCTCCTCGTTACAAAAGCAGCTGTGGGGGCAGACAACAGCTCCTTTCCTATCAGGGAAGCTGCTTGCTTCCGCAGCGCCTGCTTGGGCACATGTGGGCGCTGCGTGCTCACAACATTAACTCGTCTCCACATGCGGTTCAAGACTGCTTTCACACCCTTGAAGGGGGGGGAGAGCAGAGCAACTACCCCACAAACTTGCATCGTGCCTCAATGAGCCGCTCTGCACAGCCGCAGAAGGGGAAAGGAAGGCAGCGTGTGTTCCCCTTTATTAGGCTGCAAGAGTGATCGCCCCTCAGCACCCCCAGGTTTCTCACACAATGCTCCCAGCTCCTGGTGAAGCCCCCAGCCTCTACCCGGCAGCCCGGCCCTTCACTGAAATGACCACAGAAGACATAGTGACACACCATTAGGATTTATTTAGATGTTAGTAAGAAAATGATTAACTATTATCTAGTAGATGTTTGTGCTTATTGAAAGAGTGTCAGACTATATGACCTTTAAATGTCTGTTCTAACCTAAACCATTCTAAAGGATTCTATGAAATGTCCTAAAATAGCATGAGGAGAGATGCTCAACAGGTACTACTAAGATGCCCTCCATGAAATACTGTTCACCAGCTTAAAAGTGTTTCTGCTCAGCCCTGGGGAGCAATCCCAGCCAACTGACTGCCTCACCAACCAGCACAACAAAGCTCAGGCACACAAGGACACAGCTTTGAAACCATCCTGTGGCCAGGAAAGCCTTCAGGAAAGCACAAGAACTGCTGTGGCTCTCTGCTCCACGCCCTGACAGCACACCGGCTGAAGGCATGCCTTCTCCCTGAAGCCCAGAAGCCTCACTCCCAGGGCTGCGGAGATGAAAGGCTCAGACCCTATGGAAGGGAAACAGCGCAGACGGCTTGGGAAGGACTCCACATTACCTTCTCTAGCCAGGCTGTGCCCATGGCTCAAAAGCTAGCAGGTCACTCCCTGTGAGGGCACTGAAGATTAGCTCGTTATCTCGCACCTAGAAATCAGGCAAGACTGCAGGATTAAGGGAAAGGGACAATGGACCAATGCTTGTGGCCACCAGACACAGTAACAGGTGCAAGACCTAGCCTGTTCACCTCCACCTGAGCAGGAAAAAAGCAGGACAGCAGCCTCCATTACCCACTACACCCAGTGAGACCAACTATGGGCTAACCACCTTCACCCTCTATGCCACAATCTATCCCAGAAAGCCACAGGACGCACCGCATGCTGCTAGCCATGTCTGCAGTGTAGTAAAGTTCCTAAAGTCTCCTACCCCTTCTTAGATAAGAGTCCTTCTAAAGACAGAGAGAGTAGAGTATCTGACAGGTCAACTCTAAAACAGTTCCTCCCTAGTAAACCCTCTGAGCTGCCAGCAATTGGGAGAGTATTCAGAAGATTCTGCTTCAATATATTATGTCAATGCAGCTCTGTTTGTCCCTGACTGACAGGGTGCTCAGCTTCACCCCAAGAAGCAGGAGGTGGTGGCGTTAACCTTATCAGCATGCTGCTGCCCGCTGACAGCTGGGACAGCATGTTCCACCCCCTCCTGCTCCTTGACGGCCCACTCCATTGGCACCTGCAACATGTAAGTCTCAGGACACTGCTCCTCAGGCTGGGGAGTGCCCAGCTCGGAGCCCGCTGCTGCAGGAAGGTCACAGGATGAGATGTTATTCAAAACAGATGCGGGATCAATGTTGGATTGACTCTGCAACACTTCCCATAACTGACTGAGGACTCCTGACATTGAGGGGTCCTCAGGTGCTGCGGTCAACTCCTCCATCACAGCGTCCTCCTGTACAACAGCCACCACCTGGTTTGGGAACTCATGGTTCTCCTGTGGCAGCACTGCAAAAGAGGTAGACCCAGTCCCGTCATGCCCAGTCTCTCAGTGTCCTGCTCCCAGCACAGGGCACTACAGAGCCCACAAGAGGGGAACAAACTGTTCAGCTAAGGGTGCCTCCTCCCATGGGAGGTGTCAAGAGGATATTGCACAGCTGCCAGGCATAAGCACAGCTTGTGCTCCAAGAGGGACTGGATCCCTCCAGTTCTTGCACCACCCCTGGCCCAGGCAGGCTTCTGCAACAGGTCTGAGGAAGAGCCCAGAACTGGGGTGAGACAGCAAAGCCAAATCTAGTCATCACCCCAGCTGCTCGGTTGGAGGCACCCGGGTTGAGGAAGGTGATCTGCCCCAGAAGGCAGCATTTAATCTGGAGCCATGCCTCAGCCCCCAGGCACTCACCCCTTGGGTCCAGCTGTTGCTCAGTGCCCTGCAACACAGAGATGTTGCGGGAGAAAAGCAGATAGAGGGACAGAATTACAACCTGGAAACAGAAAAGTCAGCACAGACTTCACCAAAGGACATGGATGGGCATTATCAACATCTCTCTCCCAAACTTACAAGGACAACAGATGCTAGGGCTGAAGCTACTCACCATGGTTTTCACTGTGGTAGTTCTCTTGGCAAACTGTCTCACCAAGGCTTGAAGTTTTTGCAACTTCCCGAGCAGTAACCTGCAGGAAAGCAGGCAAAGCAGGTTAATGCAGTGGCTGAACCTGGAGCTGCAGGCTCCTCTCCTCCTCTCTTTGCAGCCTAGGACAGGCCACAGTCCCAAGAAGAGGAACAGCCTTTCCTACCACATCTCTTGCCATGTCCAACAAGAAGAACTCACTTGTTCTGCTCCTGCAGCAGCTGTACCTTCTTCTCCAGCTCCTGGTTTTGAGCTTCCATCCTTCCCGGGAAAGAAGAACAACATGGGGGAAAAATTTTTGTTAGTCAACTGCAGGAACTTCACCGGAGTCTCTCCTCAGCTAATCAGCCACCACCTCTGGGTGGCTGTGGCAGATAAAATTGCTTCTGGGGTCTACCTAGCAGCACCAGGAGTAAAGCCCAGAGAGCAACACCTTACACCAGGTTTGGGAAGGGGCAAGCCCTGCCCAGTCCCACAGAGAAAAACCAGACTAATGCATGAGGATGCTCACTCCTAGCAGCACACCAGCCCTGCAGGTCCATGATGTCAGGCTTTATTGTAAACTATTCTGATTTGGAGAACAGACTGGACCTGGCAGGCCAGCACATTGGCTTGAACAAAGCAAGCTCTGGGCTGTCTCCAAGTGTAAGAGAGCAGGGCAGGCTATGCCTTGAGCTTCTGAGATCCCTGAGGAGACCTGCTGCCCCACAGGGTCAGCCTCACTTTCTGCCCAGAGTGGCAAGATGCCAGCAGTGGCAGCACACAGCTGCTTCTGACCAGTTCCCCCTGCTCCTGATCCCTGGCAATGTGGTTGCCACAGCTAATGCCATTTTATGAGGTTAGCAGCCATTCATTATGACTGGTCACGTGTTCATTTCTGTCTTTTCATTATCAGGCCCTGAAGGTTCTCTGCACCAAGTAGACAAACCAAAGAGATTTCTTCTTCCCCTCCCTAGCAGCATCAAGGTTCCTGGGCTCCAGGCTGGTTATTCCCTTCCTTACCGGCCTTGAGGATCCCAAGCACCCCACCAGCCCAGTATTGTTGATGACCCTGTCGCAGAGCAGGGCAGTGCAACAGCACACAAAACTCTCAATAGCACAAAGCACTGTCAATAAAATGAAGCAGTTACAAGACTTAAGGGGGAACTTGGATCGCAGCTGCTGCTTGACAGTGAGAACTGGGACCCTCCTGGCCAGGCACACCTCCACCATCATCTGCTTCCTCTCAAGACTGAGGGAGTCACTCATATTCCTTTATGTAATTTTCAAGTCTAGATTATGAACATTATATTGATACAGCAAACTATATATTAAGATCTGATCTGATCTGCAGAGGGTCCAGGTGATTAGAAATCATAAATTAAGTTGTATTAGGATCTAGGTGATTAGGAATCATAAGTTACATTGTATTAGGATAAAGGCAATTAGAAAATACAAGTTAAGGTGTATTATAAATTCTGTATTACACTCCTTGTACATTGTACTACATCAATTCTGCTTGTAGAAATTCTGTGCCATTCTAATAATAAATTCTGTCCTATAATAATCATAACAAAGCTTTAATTGGTAATACAATTTAATGCCATCATCATTCTTCCAAGGATCCCTAAAAGGACCTGTCTGTCCCCTCAGTGTCAGGTGACACTGCTGTGTGCCTGTACCTGTTTTCCAAGCCATTCATGTTGCTTTTCTTCCTGTGTTGACTACTCTGGGCTGGCTGCTTGTTCTGGGTATTCTGAGACGTGTCCTTCAGAAGCTGGTCTTCAGCCTGCAAGGACCATTTCTTGTTAGCAGTAACCCTGGGGCATTGGCAATCCAGCCCTCACAAACACTGCTCAGTGCTCAGCCTGTGTGCTGTTGTCCTCTGTCCCTCCCACACCACTCAGTGAACTGCAGGAGCTGCCAGGCAAACTCTGGCCTGCTGATGCAGCCAGCAGCTTCCCCGGTGTAGCAAAAGTGAGGCATACCTAAGGGAGATGAAAAGCATGCAGCTCACAAGCCACTAAGCAAGCAGGAAAAATTAGGTTGGAGGCACTTGTGGTGTAACTGCCTCCTGCAAGCAGTCATGAGTGGGGAGACTGGCAGCAGTCAGGTCTCATAGCTCTTTGTATCTACCTGATTAGCACAGCAGAGGCTGCTGTGCACGTGGACATCCCCCAGGCCTCAGAAGGAGGAAAAGGACTCCAAGCTCTGCCGCACACTGCCCTGAACACAGCACCCAGGCACCAATGCTCTCACCAAGGCACCATCCTGTATTTTCAAACCACTAGTCCGGCTGAAGCATTTGAGAGGTCCAAGTCTGTTTGGGAGTGACAGGCTGTAGAGAGGACTTACTTCGCCCAGTGACAGACAGGGTGGTAATGAAAGACCATTCTCCAGGAACTGTCTCTCCTCCTCTGTCAGGAACAGCTCTGGGAACTCAAACTAGAAAACCGCAAAAATATGCCTGCTGAGAATGCAAAGTAAAGGGAGTTCATCCCATGGCAGAGAGAGATGCAGAAAGCACACAGAACCAGGATCAGCTCTCCCAAAGCAGCATCACACTTTCCTCGAGATATTCCTCACAGAAGCCAAGCCAGGAGGGAAGAAGAGATGTGAACAGGAGCAACAGCTGGGGCCCACAAGCATGGCAGTCAGTACCTGCATAGTGGCTCCAGGCACAAGCTGGTGGTGTTCGGCATCCCCAGCAGTAGCAGTTGGGAAACTGGAGCTCTGTCCTAGTGTCCCGCTTGGATTTTCCAAACCCATCCGTGCCCCTGGGGAATGAAAGGAGAGTCAAGCACTGGGTGTCAGTGAGGCAGCACCTGATCTGCCAGCTTTGAGTAGCACAAACCCACATATTTACAGCAGCAGGAAGCCACTAAACTTGGCGCTCTCCACCGCTGCCTGGCAGCCACCTAAAAAACTTAAGACTGCTTTTTGGACTGTAGGTAGGACAGAAAGAGTCCAGGCACATCACTTACTGTGGTCACTGGAACTATCTTCTGTCGTGTCAGACCTCGTGCATTCTGGCATAGGCTCATCCAGATGGCAGGAATAGCTGTGATCAACCTGCACGTTGTGGCTGCTAGCAAAGTTGCTGCTAGAGCTTTGGGACAGATGCTGATCCTCAGAAGGGCTGCTGTCACTGTCAATAGGCAAACAATCCTGCAGTGTGCTTGGTTCATCTTTTAAGTGTCTTAGCATGGAGTTGATCATATCCTCAGTGTCCTTGTCCAGGAGCTTTGGAGAAAAAAACTTTACTCAGCAGGGAGCCAAACCTCCTGAACCACAACCCAGCAGTGATTACTCCCAACGAACTCACCCCAGGGTCTAGCAGGCCAGAGATATCCAACAGATTGTTCTCCTCCCCTGGGATTTCAGGTAAAGGAGCACCATCCTTCAGTATGAAGTCAAGAAGGTCCTCATCTAGCAGGGCAGACAGTTCCTCTAGGTGCGACATCTGAGCAGGACAGCCAAAAAGAGCACATGCACAGGGGGAAACACCAGCCCTCCTTCAAGATGTCCCTCAATCCCTACAGACAAAGTCTCCCTGTGCAATGGCAACATGGGCTGTACCCCCAGTGTGAAGCCACCAGAGCCAGCCTCCTCTTGCAGGCAAATTATTAAGAGAAGTCATGATTGTGGAGTTACCTAAAGTGTTTTATTCATGATTAAAGGATGATCAAATGATAATTAATCGATGAGTGAATGGAAATTAAATGGTAATCATTGATTAAGTGATCATTGAATGGTAATTAAACAGTGATTTGACAGTGATTTAAATGATGATTTAAACAGTAATTTAGACAGCAGTCAAACACTCTACTACTTGCTACACTTTGATAAATATCCCATTACAGCTTAACTATTACATGTTGCTAGCATACAATATACTTTCAGACCAAATGTAAAAAGGCTGCTTACCTCGCTGTAGATATCAGATGCCGGCTAAAGGATCTCTCAGCCTCGAGAAGTAACCTTGAAAGCGTCTCTGCTGAAGAGGAGATCACTGCTGTGCAGCCTGCTGCCACGCAGGAGAACTCAGTGGGCTCAAGGAAGCTACAGGTATTTATAGTGTGAAGTGATGGACTGTAGTGAAACCCCGCCTTGGTGACTGAGAATGTCTGCAGCTGAGGAAGCTTTATTTTTGTCTAGTCTCAGCGCAGGCTTATGCTGTTATCTCCCGATAAGATGTACCCAAGGGTCCTTGGTGCCTGAGAAGATGTGGCCTCGCACTGTTCTGTTTGTCCCACAGGGTGGTTATCTGCCAGGCTTGCTTGTTGGTGATGCCTGAACCAAAGAACTGCTTGCTCAGCCAGACTGGGGGCAGCCATCACAGCCCCCCATTAGTACCGTTAAACTTTCACATCTAGTGTCACAGTCCGAAAAGAAAAACCCACACCAAAAGCCTCAACACCCTCAAATACCAAAAAAGATCCCACAAAAAAACAGGCGGCCAGGGCAGACCCCCGCTGCAGGGCTGCTGTGCCAGCTGCGAAGCAGCGGGGAGCTGTGTGCAGGGCGGCTCTGCCTGCCAGGCACGGCGAGCAGGGTCCCACCGGCAGAAAACGGGGCAGCGAGAGGAAGGGGAGCTGGGCAGACCCTGGGCAACACCAGGGTCCGTGGCTTCCACAGACACGGAGGACTTTCCAGCCAGGAAGCATGCACTGGGCAGGCAGCAAGGGGAGGACGAGAAGCAAGAGGAGACCACAGCCAGCAAAGTCAGCGGGTGGCTGGAGCACGCAGGGCAGGAACCATTCCCCCCCCCCCGCGCCTGGACACCCACCCCAGGGTGTCCACCGAGGCAAGAAGCCTCTCACAGCCCCAGCCGTGAGGAGCTCGGCGCGCCGCCGCCTGCGGCACAGCCGCTGCCTGCACGGGCCTGACAGCGCCGACCCGTGCGGGAGGAGGGACCCCGGCCCCAGGCGGTCGGTCCACCGGCGGGCGGTCAGCTCCGGGACCCCCGGGGCAGCCAAACTCCTGGCCAGCAGCGCCCGGTCCTGCCC